GTAACAAGAACGTTTGTAAACACATTTCATGTAAAAGGAGACTGAGCAATCAAAAGATTCTTCTGGCTAATCTTTCAATATAGTCTATTAGCGTGATTTCAAACTTTTAAATATTTAGACATATGATATATGGGCCTCTATTTATGTTCTTGCCCTGACCCTGCAAATGTTAGGAGCAGGCCTAGCTAGAAGTGTTTTAAATCACTGTAGAAATTAATGAGTTAATTAGCATTTTATGGTTATTTTAATTACAGTTAATTACCGGTAGTTTGTCATCAAAAGTCTGATCATCTCTGAATGTATGAACAATATGATTTTCTAATTCTAAGTGGCTGAGGGCTAGATTCTGGACTGAGATGTAATAATTTGCTCCATCTCTAGCATAGTTCTTGGTATATAGCAGTTGCTTTAAAATGATTGTTAAATGAATAAAGGAATAAATAAAGGAAGCATTCTGTAACTGCCCCTCATCATTTGCTGTGTGTATGTCAGATAACTAGGCTTAGAAACTCTTTGACTGATGAGTACACCCAAGGCTGTTTTCGGGGGGTCCTAGTCCTGAGATGAAGCTAGGGAACAGATGAGGAGATGGCAGCATCTTTGGTCCTGGAGGAAAGTGACTACTTGTGACCCCCTGCCTTTTTGTTTTTCCTGATCCCCTGGAATTAGCTAGAAACTGTTCTGAAGAAGGAATGCAAAGTATAGACTTTGTATTTCCAAAATATGGACTAAAAACATAGTCCATCCATATGATGTCAAAACATGTCCGAGTTCAAGTGTAGGATTTAGATATTTTACATATTACTGTTTCCATCGAGTTTATTGAGCATCTACTTTGTGTCAAGCCCTCAACCAGGTGAAAAAATGAAGGCATTACAGCAGTATCAGCCTTCATGAATTCCAAATCAGTATATGAGGTGCTGTTAAATTGAATATTTCCCGGACTTAAATAATCTATTTTACCACCCCCAACTCATCATTCTCTATTCCTCCTTACCCTACTTTGTCTTACTTCATAATACCTATCACCAAGGCACATATTATGTTTTTATCTATCTCTCCCAGCAGAATAAAAGGGCAAGGACTTTGCTTCACTGCTGATATCCTCAGTGCTTAGAAGAGTACCTGGAATATATTAAGTGCTCAATAAACATTTTGTTAATGAATAAATTAATTTGGTATCAAAATTGCACTATTTTCTTGTTGTTCTATTTGGCTTTGAGTGGATAGGAGACTAGTACAAGGAAAAGCAATCTGATTAGATAGTGGGAGGTACTCCTGAAAGGACTGGAGGCGGATAAATGCCGAGGATAGAGTTTGGATCTGGAGAACAGCCGGTGTCAAAGAAAAATAGATGCATTGAGAAATTGTAGGGAGCAAGGACTTTTGGAATTTATTAGCTTTCTTTTTAGGCACACAGTAGTTTTAATTTGCAATAACTTGCTGAAACAACCACACTCCAAGAAAAGAAACATGTTTGTTGATCCACTGGGCCATTAACAAAACTTCTCCAAGATGTTAGAGTAACAAACCAAGTAACTCAGAAATTATTTTCTTTCCCTCACTTCATAACA